TTATTGTTCATTGTTTAAGTTTGCATTATTGTTCATTGTTTAAGTTTTGGGGGTTTTATATGACGTTAATAATTCCTGGGCAACAGATACTGGATCAAGAGGATGATCCTGATGTTGGCTTCTTTAGGAAGTCGAATTGAAGTTTGGGTGGCATTTTTGTGGAGACTTTCTGTGGGGTTGATATATTTAAAGGTAGCTTCTTCATCCTGCATATCAATGCTAGATCATGCCTGCCAGAAATGGAGGAAGGAAAAGTCCAATTGTCCCCAGCAAACAGACAAAAATAAACATCCAGAGGAAGATGCGGTCAATCACCATGGCAACATATTTCCAATCTTCTTTGACCTGAAACAAATGAAAAATCATGACCAGGGTGATCAATCATCAACTTAACTGATATTCACCATGATTGGGATGGGAAAACTTAAAAACATATCACAAATGCTTCAGTAACTTAGTCCCAGCTGCAGTAGGTTAGCACTAGCACTAGTACTTAGACTTATATACCACTTTACAGCATTTACAGAGTCAGCATATTGCCCACAATAATCAGGGTCCTCATTTTACTGACCTCAGAAGAATGGAAGGATGACTCAACCTTGAGGCTGGTGAGATTTTAACTGCCAAATTGCAGGCAACCAGCAGTCAGTAGAAGTAGCCTGCAGTACTGCCCTCTAACCACTGCACCACCAGGGCTCAGGTTAAGTGAGCAAGTAGGCATAGTAAGTATCAATGTGCCATACCATAGAATAATTATCTATCAGAGTTAAAAGAGATAGAAAGTAAAACTAACAGGGTTGGGCTGTAAAAAATCCAGGTGAGCACTAAATAGCAGCAAAGAGGATACTTTATGGCAGAGATCTCCAAATTTGGCAACTTTAAGACTTGTGGACTTCAACTCCACAAGTCTTAAAGTTGCCAAGTTTGGGGGGCCCTGCTTTATGGTATCCCATAATTATCTACGGAGTAGTTGTCAAGATTTTGGTATTCCAGATATGGCAGCTCTACAGAATATAGGGTAGAAAATTCAATGTGCTATTCAGTTAGTTGGGTTCCTTCAGACTTGGGAGACTTTGATTAAGGAAAACAAACTCTTCCAAACTTTCAGATTTGTACTGGATCCCATCTTTAGGGAACTTCTCTCTAGCCCAGCTTATTTAGCTAGATAGAAGTTCCCTGAAGATGGGCTCCAGTATGATTCTGAAAGCTCAGAAGACAAACCTCTGGCCCCAGTAACTGACCCAGATTGGATCCTATGACATTATCCTGGAACACGTACAGTATATTCTCCTTCATTCGTGAAAAACAAAATTGCCTGGGAATAATTTTGGCAAACTGTGGGGAGATGTATTCATTTGGAGCCCACAGATCCATCTAAATTGGATGACCTGAAATAGGAGGCCTTGGGATTTTGTTTTGTTTTTTTAAAGAGCTACAACAAGTGTCACATGCCATATAGATCAATGTCCCTACTCTTGTACATTGGGTGTTCAAAGATAAACAAAAGGCATATTTTCTTCTGGACCATTACCAGCCCTGTCTTTCAGGCAGGGTATGAGATCACAATATGTCCCTCCAGGCTAGAAGAGTGAACTTTGCCCAGGAAGGAATTTCAGGGATGGAGTTCCTCTGGGCAGATCCACCTGGACCCATGATATTGGAGAGTTATGATCTAAGGGTGATACTAACCACTGTGGTTGGCTGAGAGATTTCTGTCACAATTGTGAATGTGTAATGCTCCAGCCTGTAGAAAAATAAGGTAGCAGAGATGGCACTGCCTTAACAGTTTTGCCTCAAGGTCTTTTAATGACATGGCAAATTAAAGAAAGTACGTTGTGGATTCTGCTGGCTTTGATTCCCTTCCCACTGAGCATTACCTTCAGCTTGGAAAACATCTACCAATGCTGATGCTACTTCTTAATTTGTGATGAGACAACTTTGGGCAGGGCTAGATGTGCCCCTGGAACAGAAAGTTTAACCACCCTCCAAGTTTTATTACTTGACTGATTGATTGATGAGGCTTTACATTGCCTCAGTTTCAGTCAACTCCAAGATATTCACAGTCCAACAATAGCTCTAATAAAGGCAAGGCAGTAAAACATTGTAATATAGCATTCTGTTTGTGGCATCACATCTTTTTCAGCAGCCTGGTCTCCAGAGCTATTCCTTAAGGCAGTGTGTCTGTGTAAACAAAAGAAGTCTCTATTTCCCATCATTGCTTAAGCAATAAGGTGCAGGTGTGGATATGCATTCAAAGAGTGTTTAACAAGCCCCAAAATAGCCAGGCTGATTGGTGATGGGTGGGATTGCACCAGTGAGGCAGAAGGGAGCCAGTTGGATTCTTGCTCCCAATGTCATTTGCTAGCTAGAGAGCTGGAGAGTATGAAGGGGTGTGTGTGTCTGTGTCTGTGTCTGCGTCTGTGTGTCTGTGTATGTTGCTTTACAAGTCAGTCTTCCCACCACCACACATGACCCATGAGGTGGCAGAAACTTCTGATAAAAGCAAGTTTCCATGAGTTACTGGGCTTCTGGAAGTGGATAATACCATGAGGAATGGCACGTGAAAGAGAGGATAACTTATGGTCTGAAATGGTAGGACAAGAGAGGAAATCTTCATATACCCTCTTTCATCCCACCATTTTCCTTTTTTCTCTTAATTGATGATTACACTGGTTCTATAGCAATTAAAATAGAGAGGTGGCTAAACTGGATTGTGGATTTGCCTGTGTAAGTCCACTGGTCAGTTCTTGCAGAACTGGCTGGGAAGTTTCCAAGCTGTCCTCAAGCCAAAAGCAGAATAATGGAGGAAAATGCCTAACGGTTGAAAGAAAGAGGTGTGGTGACACCAGACAAAGTGGACAACAGTGGTTGGGCAGATTCCAGTCACTGAAAACATCATTGACCACGTTGGCTGTGATTTATCCTAATATGCAAAAACTGTGTTAGGGAAGGAACTAGAATCCCTTAGGACAAATTTAAACTACTGCTGCTGTGGGATGGAAATAAGACAAAAACAGCACCAGGAGAGCATAATATTTAAAAATAGTTAGGAGGCATGTCCCTGCCATAATTGAAGGTTGTGAGCCTCTTCAGGGTAAGGATAGCATCCTTAGCATCCATTTCCAGCAGACCAATCTCTAGGATGATTAGAAACAATTGGATGAGGCCAATTTTGGATGCCTGATACCTGCTTTTATATCTATCGATCCATCATCCCACCATGGGTGCCTAGGAGGAGAGGCTGATATTAGAGCTACTAGTGACATTTTTACCTGTGTTAAATGCCTTTTCTATCCAGTTGCAATTGAACATTTAGCTGTTTCTTTTTTCTTACTGTTAAAAAAAATCACTTTTAAATCAAAGAACTGATGCTTCAGTTTTTATCTTACCAGAAGGAGAAAGGACTGCTGTTCTCTAGCCACAGACATCAAAATTACTACAGGGGTCTCCAACCTTGACAACTTTAAGATTTCTGGACTTCAACTTTGGCAAGGTGTTGCACGGGTCTCCAACTTTGCAGACATCTTCAACCTTGGCAACTTTAAGGGGATCTTGCAGGGGTCTCCAACCTTTCCCCAGCATGGCTGGCTGGGGAATTCTGAGAGTTGAAGTCCACAAGTCTTAAAATTGCCATAGTTGGAGACTGTAATTAGAGCTAGGAGGTGGTGCCATAGAGCTGTATTGTTGATATTATTTTCCAGTTTATGGCTGAGTAACTGGATCAGGCTGCTAAAAGCCTCGGGTCTCTTTCACAAACCAGTTTTAAGGAAAAAACTAACTAAGATATTTCCTTCCTTCAGGAAGATGGGTGGAAACAAAAAAGTTCTGCATAGCCTATAACTAGATGAGCCCTCCAGTCCCATCTCTCTCTCTCTCTCTCTCTCTCACACACACACACACACACACACACACACACACACACATATCTTCAGGTGGCGTGAAAGCCATTTCTCAACAAAATGGATCATTTCAATTTGTCGATTCTTTCTGAAAAGAAAAGGAACACCTTGTAAAATTCCAGTGACGTTTCAGCTGGAAGGAGCTCCTAAGGTTAAAACGAAGACTGGATGCCATATCTGGCAGACAATGGAATTATAAATTAACAGTGCAGTCCAATGCAGGCTGAATCAGCATAAGCCCATTAAACCTAATTATTCTTATGCGCAAATAAAAATACTGTAGAATAAGTTAAATGAGTCAGCAAAAACAAAATATACATTGTGGGTTGAGTGGGAGAAGTTCACAAAAGTATTTGTCCTTGAATTACTGTGTTAATATTGGGATTTGTGATTTTGCACTAAGTCAAATTATATTCCTTCCTGCTTCCCTTTTTTCACAAAAGGTTGTCTACCTTCTACTATCCTTCTACTCTGCTAGGCTGATTTCTCTCTTAGATCTAATTCCATCTTAGATTCTTGGTCTAAGCCTAAGGGCTAAGAACACTCTTGCAGACGAGTCTTCAGGCTACTGAATTTAAGTGATTCCACATGATTTAAGTGGAAGCTGGGACAATATTCCTCAGAGCTGGGGATATATGACAAAAGATGGACTGAGTAGGCCAAAGTTCTAATCCAGAAAAATTGTTCTTAGTATCTCAGACTTAGCAACTCACCGAGAAATCTGCATCCTCAGCCCTCAAGTGATTTGCTATGAAGTGCACCCCTTCCAGTGCCTTCAAGATGCTTGGAGACAGCTGGATGCTCTGCTCAGATGAAGCTGAACTTTCTGTCTTGATAGTAGCTGGGCGATGAACCAGTTCCACAAATCGTCTTCCCAGATGTTGAGCACTGGTGTAGCGATATTGAAGGCATTGGTGGTGGCAGTTGCTTTGCAGGGGTAGCCGGGCAGCCTGAATCATCTCTTCATGATTCTCCTCTTCCTCATCCCACCTATCATCTACGTCTGTCTCCAGCCAACACCGTGAAGTGCTGAGATTTGCTGGAGGCATGTCGTATTGTGCAATTACTTCTTCACTGGTCACCCTCAACCCTGAAGCTATTACTGGAGGGCGTTTCATGAAGAGCCAGCGGGGAATGAAATGCAGAAAAACATTCTGGACCCAGTGTGGCATCTTGTGAGTACTGGGTGAGCGATGATGGACGTTGAGAACAAAGACTGTGATGACAATGGAGAGGGTGACAAAGATCATGGTGAAAAGCAAATATTCGCCAATCAGTGGGATAACTAGGGATGTGGATGGGATGATTTCAGTGATAAGTAGGAGAAAGACAGTGAGGGACAGAAGGACAGAGATGCACAGGGTGATCTTCTCACCACAGTCGGATGGCAAGTAGAAGACCAACACGGTCAAGCAGGAAATTAGAAGGCAAGGGATAATGAGATTAATGGTGTAGAAGAGAGGCAAACGGCGGATGATGAAACTATAAGTGATATCAGGATAGATCTCACTGCAACAATCATATTTCTTGGTATTATAAGTGCCCACTGCACTGATAATGGCCCATTCCCCACTTTCCCAGTAGTCCTTAAGGTCAACGTGGTGCTCCATGCTTTCCAAATCAATCTTGGCCTTGTCATAAGTCCATGAACCAAATTTCATTTTGCAGTTCTGTTGATCAAAGGGGAAGAAGGTTACATCAATGCTGCAGGAGCTCTTATAAATGGCTGGCGGCACCCACTTCACACTGCCGTTTGAGAAAAGGTGAGCCTTTATCATATGGGTGACAGCAAACTCTCCATCAGCACTGGAGAGAAAAGAAGAGAGGAGTTAAGAGGAGACTGTTTAGCCTTAAACAAACTTCTGCATCTTGAGGCATTATATAGGGACAGCATTGAGTTAAAGCCAATCAAGAAAGTCGTCTCGTATATTGATTTATTGTGACAAAAACCTTGAGGAACTAGACAGTCCTCTCCCTATAAACAAGACTATTTTGAAACTCATATTTTTCTCTGTTCACCAATATTATTTACTAATACTAAGAAAATACATCTACACAATATTTTGAAGCCTAGGTTAAGGATTAAGTATAAGTCATCATGTGGTAATCTTATAAGAAGGGGCTTTAATAGTATATTCTGTCAGTGTATAAGAATTTATGAACTGGAATAGCCATGGCAATGAATCAGCCAATGGGGACTGTTTGGTGACTGAGACAAAGTTATGTGAGCCACTGAGACCGCTTGGAGCCTGGGCGTGGCTTAGCTTAACTGTTCTGTGTATAGGAGAGTTCATTTGTCTCTGCTTAAAAGTGCTTGTACTTGCTACTTCTTCTCTCTACCACATTGCAAGAGCTGCATGGTTATTGTATACATGTATCATGTTTTATATTATTGTATATAAATACGTTTCTTCTATATAATGAATCCTGCTGAATTATTTGTTTGTGTGTTGGCTGGTTTGCTACAAACTATGTCTTATTTGGCTTTGGCAATATAACTACTAAGGCCTAAATCATGTAAAATAAGGAGCATGAAATAAATACAGGCAGTCTTCGACTTACAACCACAATTGAACCTAAAGTTTCTGTTGCTAAGCGAGACATGTGTTCAGTAGGTTTTGCCCCATTTTACAACTTTTCTTGCCACACTTGTTAAGTGAATCATTGCGGTTTTGTTAAGGTTTTGCTTGTCAGAAGGCTGCAAAAGGTAGATCATATGACTCTGGGACACTGCAACGGTCATAAATGTGAGTCAGTTGCCAAGCGTCCAAATTTTGATCATGTGACCATGGGGATCAGTGGTGGTATTCAGCCAGTTTGCATCGGATCTGGTGAACCAGTAGCAAGGATTTGGCGTGGATCACCAAATGGGTAGTAAGTGCTGGCTGGCCATGCCCCCGACCCGGTTGCCCAGTCACCGCAGGCTCACTTGCCCCACCTACCCAATGCTCGCTCACCCCGCCCGCCTGACACTTGCCCCTTAAGGTATTTCTTTCCTTTTCTTCCCTCCCGACAATCAGCTGTTTATACGATCAGCTTTATACCTTTATACCTTCCTGAGGCCCAGGAAGGAAAGACTCAGCCCCCCTCCATTTTTTTGCTTTCCTGAGCCCCAGAGAAGCCTTCTGGGAGCAAAAATGCCCCCCTAGAGGCTTCTTCTGAGGCCAGGAAGGTCCCAAAACAGAGCATGGAGGGGTGCTGGGTGCCCCTCCCATGCTCGGCTTTTTTTTTCTTCCTGAGCCCCAGAGGAACCTTCTAGGAGCAAAATCACCCCCCTAGAGGCTCCTCTGAGACCCAGAAAGCCCCCAAAAGGGTCGGAGGGTGGCTGCAAAAAAAAAGCCATGTCCACCCAGTCACGTGGCCATGCCCACCTAACCACACCCACCAAGCCACGGCCACAGAACTGGTAGTAAAAAAATTGGAATCCCACCAATGATGGTGATGCTGCAACAGACACAAGTGTAAAAAACGGTCATGTCACTTTTTTTCAGTGCCACTGTAATTTCAAACGATTACTAAACAAACTGTTGTAAGTTGAGGACTACCTGTATAACAAGGTTTCACTGCTGCCTACAATTAGCTGCATGGAAATTGTCCTTTTAGAAAGCATGAGAAATGTCAGCTGGACCAGGGGTCACCAACCGTTTTGGTGGCCCGCAGAGAAATCTCACCCCCAGAGCACCCCCCCCCCAAAGCAATTAATCCAGGCTGCACAGAAAAACAAGGCTGTGCTGCCCACATGGCCCACAGGAACCCTCCCCACCCACTCACTCCTTACCCAGCAAACTTGCCTGCTAAATTGCTATTTTTCCTTTTTCCGACCATCAGCTGTTCTGCTGTGCTGGGAGATTTAGATTAGCTAGGAAGCAGGAAATGGTTGCATTTCTTGTTTTCTAGCTAGTCTTTAGATCTTCAGCTCTGCTTTTAAACACAGCTGAACTTTCCTTAGGGCTGAAGGTTCTATTATTCAGTGCAGACTCATGGCAAGCAAATTTTATGTGACAGACTGAGCTAGCCGATGGCAGATAGATAGATCTCTGAATCTCTGAATGTGTGTGATTCTGTGAGCAATTCAATCTGCCTGCCTGCTTTGCCTGATTTTGGGTAAAAGATGCTCTTTTTTAAATAAAAAAAATTGGAACTGAAAAGCCACATGTAAAGAAGAATTAACGGGGTAGATTAACATCAGATTGGAAATCAATATTCATTTTAATAGCAGCCACCAGAATTTGTATTTATTAGCCCTCATGCAAGCTCTGTTCATCAAACCATTTGTTCACACCAGCTTTTTCTGACCCTTCACTTTAGGAAGAATGTAAAATTTGTTCTATGCTGCCTACCAATACTTTTGTAGGATTTCTGATGAATTTCTGAGCTCTATCTGGTGATGCTGGTAACCAAACCTGTGACCTTCCTCATTGAGAGGCTGTCCTCCACCACAAATACCAGCGGTAAACTCATCTCATAGAGGGTGGGGTGCCTACAAGGTGTTTGTTTTGAGAATCAGCGGAATAATTGTCAACTTTCAAACAAAAGAGCTACTGAAATCAAAAATATCAAATTATCTCAAAAAACTGTTTGACCTTCAAAGGGGAAAAGAAACTATAACTGATTCCAGCCTCACAGCAATTGTAGTGCATATTTAAGTGATGCTTTTGCGCAGGGTAATAATATATTGATGTATAAGCATTGGCAGATGAGAGTTGATGTGGCTATTTGCTCAGAAAGCACCTGGATTTGCACATTTCACAACTCAATATTATTTTAATGCAAACATCAGCACTTTACAATTTGCATAATTTTAAGAATTCATACATTCCCTTCATCATTTCTGATGATGACCGCTGGATTGGCTAGATCATAGCAGCAGCAGCATGTGGAAAAGAGTTAAATGAACCACTCCCTCCAGATCAATATATTATAAACAGCATTGGAAGGGAACTTGGAGGTCTTCTAGACCAGAGGTTGCCAACCTTTTGGACCTCAGGGACCACCAAACTCATAATTTTAAATCCCACAGACCTGAGACCCTGGGAAAATTCCAAAAAAAAGTCTGCAGGAAAATTCCCCATCCCCTTTTCCTACCTATCGATCATTCTTTATTTGGGATTGCAGGATACCGTCTCCAGCTTGGTTCTGGGGGGTGGGAGAGAGACTTTTGGCTTCATGCAAGGAAAGCAGCAGAAGTCTTTCTTTCTCTTCCCCAAACTTCGCCAGAAATGAGTCTTTGTTAGACTTGTCGCGCTGGTGCAGTCTCTTGGAGCAAGATGCATTGCAGGGTCCCAAAGACTCATTTCTGGTGGAGTTTGGGGGAGAGAAAGAAAGACTTTTGCTGCTTTCCTTGCATGCAGCCAAAAGCATAAGAAGAAAGAAACAGAAAGAAGCAGCCCGGTGGCCAGGCCAGGAGCATGGGTGAGTGGGGCAACTTTCCCCCCACTCCGCCCTTTCCCCCCTCCCCTCACTACCGAGTGTTGTTCACAATGCAAGCAATGCAAGCCTTATGTTCCCGCAGGCCATGTGGGCAGCACAGCCTTGTGTTCCCGCGCAGCCAGGATTAATTGCTTTGAGGGTGACATTTCTCTGTGGACCACCAAAATTTTCTCACAGACCACAAGTGGTCCCCGGCCCACTGGTTGGCGACCACTGTTCTAGATCAACTTCCTGCTCGAAAAGGAGACACTATATCATTCCAGACAAGTGGCTGTCCAGTCTCTTCTTAAAAGCCTCCAGTGATGGAACACCCACAACTTCTTGAGCTGTTCCACTGATTTATTGTTTTCACTGTCAGGAAATTTCTCCATAGTTCTAGGTAGGATCTCTCTTGAATGAACTTCCACCTGTTATTTTTTGTCCTGTCCTCAGGTGCTTTGGAGAATGTGGACTCCCTCTTCTCGGTGACAACCCCTCAAATACTACAAGACAGCTATCAGGTAACCCCTAATCCTTCTCTTCAATATGGTAGACATACCTATTTCCCTTAACCATTCATCTTATGGCTTAGCCTCTGTACCCCTTATCATCTTTGTTGCTAAATATACCAAATCTGGTATATTTATGCATATCCTGGACAATCCTTTCTATCGTCCTTCCCATCATATCCTCCCCTCCTCTTCCTGCCCACAACTAAGAAAATGCCAAAGACATGAGACAAATAAACTAGCATTGAACACAGAATTCATGAGGGCCATTTGATGGCAGCATAATACCAGCCAATTGAAGAAAGCCATTCCTCATGGATTAAACTAAGATTTGCACACAGAGAGAAAGAAAAGATATTTGCCAGCATTCCTTAGAGGATAATAGGCTGGGCATCACCCTTTAAGTTTGCATTGCTACTGAGGGAATACAACATTTCAGCAGCAGTTGACAGTGGAATACATCATCATAGAGTGTGTGTGCAGTGTGATTGCAGAAAGTAATTCATTAAGATCTAAATTTGCTGTTTTCAAGAACAAACCCAAAACGCAGCACAAGTTTGGAACTGCAGAGAGACCACAAATTTTGCTCAAGGCCACTTATGAATCAGAAGAGATCACATCTGTCAAACCAAACAAGTGTGGTTTGTTGAAGCAATCACAGATTCATCTAACTTAACAGCCTACCTCCACCAGAAGACAGTGCCTTCTGGTAAACAGGACAAGAATGGAACAATGGGGATATAAAAGTAGCACGCCTCACTCCAAATGTCCCAATTTTGATAAAATATTTCACTGGGTGGAAAAATCTCACCATGAGGATGAAATAAATACCAATTTGCCTAATGGTATCCTAAGTCTCATGAGTTACAAGTAGCAAATTGCACTACATATTGGAAAACTGCTGAATTGGAATGTATTAAGATTGAGCATCTTATTAAGCTGTCTTTTTACTCGTAATAAACAAATGATTGTTCATATGATATTGTACAAGTAGAATGACTGCTAGTTTTTTGAATGACAATTATTACTCCCTGCATCTTCTGCATTTCGTTTCTCTTAGAGCTTACTGTCTTGTATCATCATTCCATCACTCTCTCTTATATCACTTATTGAGGTCTGCAGCTGATGGGAATTTATGTATATTACTAAAATGACAATACCTGCATGATTCTGCATGACTGCAGGATGGGTATAATTTATAGATATGTTTATATTTGAGATGTATTGCTATTCTACCAAGAACGCAAGGATGGTTGATGCTTTTGGAATTATTTATGGTTGAAAGTCTTCTTCCTCTTACTAGCTAACACTTGTTTTTATTTTTTATTTTCATGTGTTTTCATTTATTTTAGGACGCAGATGTAAATATTCATAAGATTATCCAAAATGAAGATCTATCTTATGACTGAAATATATAGAACTTGTCATAACATAAGTGGTGTGGTTGTGGATATTCTGTCTTTTTGCTCACCTTCCAGGGGATTACTTGGACATGTTCCACCCACACCAAAATTAACAAGTAAAATTAATAGCAGTAACTATACCATCACTCTGTCTCACACACACAATGTAGAGGAACACAGAGATGATCTTGGAGAAGATACGTGATGATCAACCATGAATTTATATGTTTAGCCCAGGGGAAAAAAAACAATGAAAAGGAAACTTAAGTTTGTTTTGCATTGCTTCTTTCTGATGTAGGAGAGAAGGAAAGGAAATCTGACAAGCTTTCAAGATTCTGTTATTAAAATCTATATCACTAAAACTGAGTTCTGGAATTTCTTGTGCTATCTGTTTCTTGATCAACTAACCTCAAAGTACTAAACATGTACATATATGTTTGAGCATGTGTGTGTGGTTACATATATAGTTAGGATATCTCTGCCCTGATAAACTCTGGATCTTAACTCCCACAGTCACACAGAAAAAGTTGGCTTATCTTCAGTTTAAGAAAATGAACGTCTGTGTAGGTTTTTTTCTACATAGGATGCTGCCAGTGTGCCTCTATTTCATTTGCATTTCTAACATCCTCTCAAATTGTACACAAGATAGATGAATGCCAAGGACATGTACCAGAAAGCTATGCTTTCCACAAAAACAATCTTATCTTTATCCCTAATATTTGAAGTGCAAAAAAACACATTTGGGAGAAATGAGCAGAGGCATCATGGAATGTTTTTTTTTTAAAGAAGGAGACAGTAGTCATGATCCTGTGATGTAAACTCCACTCCATTTTTATGTGCATTATGCAACACATTACATCGGGATTGTGATGACCCAGACTAACAAAACGTAACAAACTCCAAAACGTAAATAAATGTACTTTAATGCCTCCAACTTGGCCCCACTGTTCAATAATTCTCAGTTGGAGACAAAACGTACTCAAAAATAGTCTTCAAAAGAAAGCAATACAGTCCGAACTTAATGAGCAGATAGAGGTGAAATAAAAAACCAAACAATGATGAAATTTCCACAATGAACCAGGATAAGTAATTACCAAATTCAAGGAGATAACAAGGCACAGTCTGTTGGAAGGACAGATAACTTCCACCCAAAATAACACACGCTTTGCTTCTGGCAACGCTGTGTTGTAATCGTCTCACTTATTTACTAGTCTCCCCAGCTGCAACCAATGAGAATCATGGTGCTTCCTCTCTCGTAAGCCAAGTTGTTGCCTTCTCCATTCCTCTCTGTGTGTCCTAGGATGCAGAGGGGATGGGCCTGGTTCTTCCTCTGACTGCCCAGCTGGCCTCTGCCCTTCCCCAGCCTCCTCCACAACTTCCGGAGCCACACCTCCACTCCCAATCGGCTGTTCCTCCTCTCCCTCAGAGTCCACTCTACCAAAGGCATGACAGGGGTGTCCTACTCTGGCAACTTTAAGGCTTATGGATTTCAACTCCCAGAATTCCCCAGATGTTGGGGAATTCTGGGAGTTGAAGTCCATAAGTCTTAAAGTTGCCAAAGTAGGACACCCCTCCATTAAACAATAATAGGGTTTTGATCACATGTCCTGACCGCCATCTTGATTTTTTTGTTTCTTCTTATGGAAGTTCATGGAAATGGAAGAGTCTCTCTCCCCTGAAATTCAGATTTGCTGTTGATCTTCATTCATGTGACAAGGGGAAAGTCCCTCAAAACCAGTCATTCCAAATTAAACTTGGAACTTTGTGGAAGCCAACTTTTAAAACTAAGTTAGAAGACATCACTTTGCTCTGCAGCAGGTTAGTATCAAAGCAGTTGGCAACCACTCCACAAATTTATTCAGGCAACATAAAATTTTTAATCTAATTACAGAATTAATTATCTTCATTCATATCATACATTAAGCCCCCAAAGAAATTTTAGTGAAGGTCAAGAGAACCAAATTTAGCATCTGATATTAATGCAGCCATTACATTTGTAAATGTTTGGTCCAATGTGGCTCAGTGGGAACATTCAGTTTCAAGGAGCATCCATCTGAATACACAATAGGCAGAATGTCGGAGTTACCACCAACAGACATACGTTGCCTCCAAATTTGTTCCCATAGGTATAAAATATCTAACAACCCTTACCTCCATTTCCCAGTGTGCATAATCACTCTGGACTAGGCTTCATTCAGCTCCTTTATTTCATGACATTTAGTTTAGAAATCTATCTCTGTGTTTTCCTTTGCATTAGTCTTTCTATGTTACGTTTTTAAGGAAGACTTTTTTTCAGTACAATGTTGAGATTTGTTTACATTTGTATTTGTCACTGTCCCAATTCATCCAGATGTACAAACCCATCACCTACTTGTTATACAGCACAATATCTGGGATCCAAATCATCTCAGAAGGTACTCGAATAGAAGTAACATTGTCGAAATCTGTTGGATTCCACTGAAGCTTGTAGTCATTCCATTCCTGGTGGTAAGGAAGAAGTCAGTGTTCATTCCTTTCTAACAGGATGATGTGATTATTTACAAGGGTACAACAAAGGTTGTTTCTTTATTTGTTTATTTACAAAACTTATTTGACCACCCATCTCATACAATGAATCTAAATGGCTCACAACAATTCATAAAACATAGTTAAAAAGAAAGCTATTGTTCTTCCTATGCAGTAGATCAAACATCCTCATAGCTCAAGCATGGTTCTCGATCAATACTTGGGGCAAGAATCAGGTCTTCACAGCCCTCCAGAAGGTTAAAAGGGAAGGAATCCCTCTGATCTCAGGTAGGGGGATCTTCAAAAGGGCTGGGATGGCACACCTCAGAGGTCCCACTGGAGGGTCACAGGAAAAAGTGGAGACATGGAGCACACCCATCTTATCTAATCTTGTAAGACAAGTAGATAACCTCAAAAGAGGCACTCCTGCAAATAACCTGGCCCTGTGCCATATGGATCTTTGAAATGTTAATCAACACTTTGAATTGCACCAGAAAACAACTGGTGCAGCATGTGCAGTAGTGGTGCTACTTGGGTGATCTGTAAGGAACCCAAACTGTGTGTGTTGCTGAATTCTGGATCACTTGCAGTTTTTGGATGGTCTCCAAGGGCAGCCCTCTTGGAGTAATCCAAATGGGTAATCCAAATGACTAAGCCATGGGTGACTGTGAGCAAGGCCTCCTGGTTGAGCAATGGGTTCAGTTGGTGCACAAGGTGGATTTGTGCAAAGGCTCCCCTGGCCACAGCTGCCACGTGCCCTTCCATCAGGAGCCATTACCCCTTACTTAAGAAGACCCTCAAATTACAAACCAGAGCTGTAAGGGGTAATGATACCTATACAAAGTCAGAGATATAATTTTTTTTCGCAAAGCAGGTAGATTTATAGGACACACTAACCCAGAAAAATCTAACTATGGTTAATAGTAGCCAAGACCATATCATGGAAAACCAGCTGTTAGCTTTTTACTGAACTTGATGGTATGAACACAATGATGGTGGGTTCAGACATTGTCCTCCCTGGTTTTGAAAAAGGATTATATAAACAAACTATAGCTCTCAAGAATACAATACATTGGCCAGCCTACAGTAGACACCCACCATATTCAGACATGCGTAAAAGTTGGAAAAATAACACAAGGGTTGCTATAATGCCCTCTGGATTCTCTATTAGAAGTGGAAAAACAAAGGAGGATGCTACCCCTTTTACATGGCCCAAGATCCATATAATATTGTTGCATGTGGATAATCGATCTTTTGAGTCTCCCAGCTTCAATTGTACTAGATGGTTCCCAAAGTGGGAAGTACTGCCCCCTGGGGGGAGGAAGCCTTAGTGAGGGCACTGAGAGGCAAGGGGGCTGGCAGGGGGGTGCTAGGAGGTGGCAAGGGGGCACTGGAAGTGAGCAGCAGGGCACAATTCAGGGGTGAGAAAAAATCCCGCCGCTGCCGCATTCGAGGCAAGGCCCCGCAGGATCACCCCATTGACTTGCACGCTCTGGTGCAAGGAGCTCAATGGGGTGAACCTGGGGGCCTCAGCCCAAACGCAGCGTTGGGAAAGGAGAGCAAAGCCAGAGTGAGCAAAAAGCCAGAGTGGCTTTGCTCTCCTTTTAAAACATCCCCCCGCTGCCGCCATGTTCAGGGCAGCGGGGCCTCGTCCCGAATGCAGCGTTGGGAAAGGAGAGCAATCTAGTCCAATGACCTGCTCCAGCAGGGTTGGAAGGGAGCATGTGTATATGTGTGTGCATGGCTGTCAAAACTCCAAAAACAGGTCAAGTAGTTCTGGGGAGGCCAGTCATAAATTAGAACACTTGCTAAGCAACCGGCCATTAAGTGAGGACCACTTGTATTTGGTTTGCCAGTCACCAAATCATGCCCACCCAGTCACATGACCAGCAAGCCACACCAACAGTCATGTGTCCAGCAAGCCACGCCCACCCAGTCACGTGTCCAGCAAGCCACGCCCACCCAGTCATGTGACCAGCAAGCCACACCTACTCAGTCACTTTACCAGCAAACCACACCTTCAAATTAGGCCACACTCACAGAAATTTGAATCCCGCCCCTGGGTGAAGGGCATTGAGGATGAGTTTGTAGCACCAAGGGGGCAGTGGACTGAAAAAGTTTGGGAACCACTGTACTAGATTATACCTGTCCTGCTTACCTGTTTCAGCCAAACGTTTGTGGTCATCATTTGATTCTTTTCATCCTTCATAGGCAAAGAAAAAAATAGAGGTATTTGGATTGGATAGAAAGACACATTAAATCCTGTCACTGCATTGAACCCTAAAAGGCAGGGTAAATTCTGTACTTGTATGTCTGGCTTCTTCAGACATAAAATTGGAAATTTTGGCATATAGCAGAAACTCGACTGTTGCCTTAGCAGGTTGTGTGAACCAAGCATTGTGCTAAACCAGGGGTCTTTGAACGTTAAGCTTTAAGACTTGTGGACTTCAACTCCCAGAATTCCTCCTCCAGTCATGTTAGCTGAGGAATTCTGGGAGTTGAAGTCCGCAAGTCTTAAACTTGCGAAGTTTGAAGACCCTTGTGCTAAACATAAGGTGAGTTATCTTTTTGGGCACTGCATATTCCATGAATACAGCAATATAATTGCTGTTTGTCTCGATTTAAGCAGGTTGTATGAACTCAGCCTCTGGAAGCTTTAAGGATAGTGATCCCATTTTTTCATCAAAGAGCACAGATACCTTCTCTTTGACCTCTGAGCATGAGTGTTATAACTGGTTATGTAAGAGCCATGGTGGCGCAGTGGTTAAAATGCAATATTTCAGACTGATTCTGCCCACAGCCAGGAGTTTGATCCTGACCAGTACAAGGTTGATTCAGCCTTCCATTCTTCCAAGGTCAGTAAAATGAGGACCCAGTTTCTTGGGGGCAATATGCTGACTTTGTAAACCACTCTGAGTATTCTAAAGCACTATGGAGAGGTCTAGGTGCTATTGCTATGTGTTTTCCAAAATGTCTAAAGAAACATATATCCCTGCCTGTTTCCTGTCACCAAATATGTCTTCCATGATACTTATTGTCAACTCATACAATATTTCTATGGTCTTTTTAGAGTTGGCAACAGAAAGGGGGGGGGAGGGGTTTGAAAGAGCAGTGTGGCAGCTTGGAAAGCAAAAGTGCATTCCATAAATAGTTTTTCAAAGATAGTAACTAGATGACTGAAGTTTCTGCTGTGCAAAATTCTAACTGGAGAACATGATTGATGACTCTTGGCTATGGATGTGTCTCATTGGAGAATATGAATTATGATACACCCGGGGGGGCGGGGGAAAACCAGGGTCAAGGGTGACAATGAATTATGTGTCTGAGTCGGCTACACCCAGGCAGTGCCGGACATGTTAACGCCCAATAAATCCTTTTGAAGTTTTGGAAGTTTGGCTGGAGACTCATGATTTAACTGGGATAACTGCTGGAATCCTGACACATATCACATGAATCATTTTTTAGAAAAAAATCCCCAAACACATTCATTTTGAAACTGCAAAGCCAATTCCAAAAGAGGGATTCAACCTGAACTCTTTCTCTTATTGTCATAGTATATTGACAATACAATTCATACATGTTTTCTCCAGCTACAAATATTTTTTTGCTGAAAGTGCTACAGAAAGATCAAGTGCCAGTTCGTATACATACCACATCAATTAGCTGAGCTATGGACAGTCCAAACCGGACAATCACAACATCAGAAGTATTGGGGACCGGCCTGGACCACCGGTTGTAAGCATGGAAAAGATATCTGAAGAGCCTTTCTTCTGCCTGTGTCTCTGTCCGGCTTTGGAGAGATGCAGATTCTACAAATAGGAACACACAGCCCTTTAAAGTCAGTCTAACCAAACTTTTAAAAACTGCCATATCATTCTCAAATATTGCAAAATAAGTATTGCAAGTTAACTTCTAAAACAGTTTGAACAATGAAATTAAATATTGAGATCAATGTTCAAACATGACCAGATGTTTTTTTTTAAATACTTAAGCTGAACAATCCTTCCACATTTCTTACATTAATCATTCTGACAACCCTGTAAAGGCAAAATCAGCAACTTTATTAAGCATATTGGTGACTCAAATAAGTAAAAATATCCCCCTCACCCCAGATCTTGCAAGACTGCTGTATCATGCAAGGGGTTCCCATGTCAAAGTCTATGCAAAGACAACAAACTCCATAAGCTCTTACATACTGGTGTGAACTCACAGGAGACTGTGGTAATTTTTGCAGCCAGTAAGGTAGTGAACATTTTAGTATTGAAGAGTAGATGGGCAGCTATATAAATTTGCTAAATCAAACAATCAATTACTAGAATCCTAAAGCTGGAAGAAGGGTTCGTTCAGTTCAGTGCAGGCATCCAGATTAAAACATCGGAAACAAATGAGGGGGGAGACTGACAGAGAGAGACAGAACAAACTATCAAAACAAATTAGTGATAAGCATTACTGGAACTTGCACCTATATTGCATTATGCACAAACAAACACGTTTATATGTAGAAAAACTCAAAAATGCAAAGCTCTTGAGCAGAAGTTGGCATGCATAAAAAGGAAATGTACCAGCTCAAGAAAACAAACAAAGCTTAAGGAAAGGATATATGCTTCCTGTTGCCACAAATTAACAACAGAAAATATGGAAGCTTAGATGCAATCATTATAAATCCAAGCTTTGAATCTAGTAATATCTGCAGGGCAGTCTTAAAAGTCAAGATGGCAATTGTAGCTTGGATCATCATAACACTCCTTTATGATTTTTAATATCATTATACAACAGAAGCAGAAGGAGGCAAGGAAACAGTTTGCATCAGTGGGATGACAGAGGTAAGAAAACAGCCAGGCTTGACTAGATCTGATCGCCAAGATCCTTCAAGGCGTTTCAGTGACATAGGGTTGGCGATGTAAGGAGCAGAACTGTTTCAGAGGAAAAATTAAATTGAAATCTTCACAGCTCTTCACAACTATACTGCCTCTTCTAAGATCCTTTAGAGATCTTAAGGTTGCACCTCTCAAATGGCCAAAGGAGATGGGAATTGTGGGAATAGTTTGAAAAAGAAGCATTTTCTAAACTGATTTTTGTTGTGCAGTTCTTGGGGCCCCCTGAGCTTGTTATTTGCTTGCAGATGTTTTATTACCCACCTAGGTAACATCAGTGTTAGAGATGACACCTAATTGGGTTATAGAATGTCTGCAAGAAAACAACCAGGCTCAGGGTGTATCAAGACTCCACGGTTCAACTCTTACAGATACTGTCTTCTACTGAAGATAAATGAACACCCAAAGAAAGATTAGGATGAACAGTTGATCTGCTGTCCTTTTCCAGTTTATACATTATTATTTTCAACTGTTTTTAATATTCTACACCAACCAGAGTCCTTATGGTATGTGTGCATGTGCCTTTATCTACTTTTTGAATCCTGGTGACTGTCTGGATTAATCCATGCACTTTTCTTGGCAAGATTTTCAGAAGTAGTTTGCTTTGTAGAATTGAGAGAGACTCACCAGTCTAAGGTCACCCAGCTGACTTTGGGCCTAAGACAGGACTAGAATGGATGGCCTCCTGCTTTCTAAGCTTGAAACCTTGTATGTCACACAAATGCATCTTGTTACAAAACTTGGAAAGGTAAGCAGACATGGGGACCAACTTTCTGCATCAAGTCTTTCAATGGCCAATCTTTAGGTAATTCAAAATAAAATAAGATATGATTGCAGAGGCCAATTCTGAGGTGGAAGTACATTCAAGCGCAGAGGTCTCCAAACTTGGGAACTTTAAGACTTGTGGACTTCAACTCCCAGAATTCCTCAACTAGCCATGCTGGCTGGGGAATTCTGGGAATTGAAGTCCACAAGTCTCAAAGTTGCCTAGTTTGGAGATCCTTGCTTAAGAGCAAAGTTTTGGACCAAATTACAACTGGTGAAGTTGCCAGTAGAAATAGGAACCTTTTTAACTAATGAGACTTGTATTCCATCAAAGATTTTCTGGTTCTTTGTTTATCTTCTCTATTGTACCAAAGGAGTTCTTTCATTTGGACTCATACAGCTGACATCCTTAAAAACTAATGGTTCACTGTCTTTGCATTCTGAGCCAAAATACCTTTTGGAAAATATCAGGGACAATACCTAACAGTCAGGTCTTGAATAAGCAGCAGTATGTTGTATATAATAGGCTAACAATCTTTGAGAACATAAAGGAGACTGGAAGAAAATTAAGGGAGGAAATGGGGCTGTTGCGAAAGAGAGCCTTAAGTCCAAGGGAGGTGTAAAACCTGAAAAAAAGACTTAGCAAAAACTGCCTTAATTACACTAAGCATAAGTTGTGTAGGAGAATTGCTTTGGCAGGGTTTTCAAGATTCTGATATATTACCTTACCAGCAATAAATATATTTCCAGAAACTCAAATAGTTCTTGTTTCCTGAGTTTGCCAGCTTTACAGAAAGTGAGAATATAAGACAGTATAAGACAATATCCTGGTTTAAAACTTAATCTGAAGATTGCACATAATATCCACTTCAATCACCCCAGTTTTTAAAACCCTGAATAACAGAGTTGAGGGGGACTTTTGAGGTCTTCTAGTCCAACCCCCAACTCAAGCAGGAAACCCTATACCATTTCAGACAAAAGGCTGTCCAATCTCTTCTTAAAAGCCTCCAGTGTTAGAGAACCCACAACTTCTGGAGGTAAGCTGTTCTATTGGTTAATTGTCCTCACTGTTTGGATGTTTCTCCTTAATTCCGGGTTGCTTCTCTCCTTGATTAGTTTCCATCCATTGTTTCTTGTCTTGCCTTCTGATGCTTTGGAAAATGTTGACCCGCCTCTTTTTTTATGGCAGCCCCTCAAAAACCAGAATACTACTATCATGTCACCCCTAGTCCTTCTTTTCTCTAGACTGACCATACCCAATTCTTGCAACTGTTCTTCATATGTTTTTGTCTCCAGGCCCTTAATCATTCTAGTTGCTCTTCTTTACACTTTTCCCAAAATCTCAACATCTTTTTTGTAATGTGACGACCAAAACTGGACACAGTATTCCAGGTGTGGTCTTATTAAGGCTTTATAAAGCAGTACTAATATTTCCTATAGGATATTGATTTTATGCCTCTGGTTTAATGCAACCAAGGATTGTATTAGCTTTTTTGGCTGCTGCCACACACCACTGGCTCATGTTCAAGTGGTCATCCACTAGGACTCCAAAGTCCCTCTCACAGTTACTGTTTTTTGAGCCAGGATTCGCCTAATCCGTATTTGTACCTTTGGTTCTTCCTGCCTAGGTGTAAAACCTTGCTCTTCTAGATGCGTTCTTTTTTAAGTGGTTATTTGCTTTCAATGCAGTTTCTGTATTTATTTGCAAATTTGTATTCTGATTCTTCAAGATGAGGCAATGCATTTGCATTTGGATAAACTGGCAAACGACTGTGCCAAACAACTGTCAGAGTAGAAACAAATCCAGCAAAGGGAAAAGCTAGTAAATCACATAATAAATAGGTGCCGTTGGCTCAGGCAGCTTTCCTTGTCCCCAGGGGCAGACTGACACAAAGAAAAAGTAGCCATTTTACATCTGAGAGACTTTAATCTGCCCCTTGGCTGCCCAGGTTATTTTTTTCCCCTGCTGTTGGCAAGTGGATTTGAAATACAGACACAGCCGTACATCTGCTCATTGGGGGAGCACTGAAAAAAAAAGACCGTACAAGAGGAAGCTTGTGCAATCCACACTCTCAGAAGCACGCGACACCAAAAACCCCACCTGTTAACTCACAACTGATGAAGGAAAATGCAGAAGGACATTTCCCTTGTTTTGCAGCTTGTTCATACAGTTATTGCTATATTTGTACAGGTCGAGACTCGAGTCAAGCATCTCAATTTTGCCTTTGGAATTCACTCAACGTGAAGAACTGACCATACGTGAATAGAGGCTTGTCAGCAGGGACAGAAGTTTAAAATTGTCAAGATGGCAGAGGGTTGCAATCAATGAACACTCCCACCCTTTTGAAGATGCATCATTCCATTCAAAGGGGGGCAAAATGCAGGCTTTGTCTGCCATGGTGCTTCTTTTGACACTTGCCTTCCCATGAATGCCAGTGAGGTTTGCCATCAGAAACAAATTGGGTGCTATGACTTGTAATTAACTGGATGTAGAAAAGAGGTGGGGAGGGAGAGAAGTATTAAGGGAACAAATGGAAACAGAGCTAAGAATCATAATCTGAAACAAAGAGGTTCTAACAGACAGAAGGGAATCTGGATAGATATCATGGAACTGGACATTCTGAAGGATTGGGAAGGATGTCTCCAAGAAATGACAAGAAGAAACAAAACTTCTGGGAAAGTATCAAAGATATGGAGTGAGGGTGTAGGAACAGACATATGGGACAAGGAGCAGATCCAAGGACTCAACTAGATACAGAGCTACCCCACAGATGTCCCTGAACATAAATCATACCCCCCTGAGCAGTACAGACAGACCAGCCAAAGTCAGCTTGGAGTAGATTGCTTCTTGGTATCTTGGGTTTTTATCCTTTACCATTAAATAAATTAAAACCATCACTTGAATTGCACTTATGCAATAGTCACAAAATAGAGCTGGACTTTTATCAGCACAAATGCTACTGCTTTTTACACCAACTGCAATTTCCTAGCAGTCATTAAGGACAGTCTCTAATAGAGTGAATTGCAGTAACCCCATCTGGAGATCATGATGACATGAATTTCTGTTGCCAGTTTCCTACTCTAAAAAGCTGCAATTGACCCATCAGCCAAAGTTGCTCACTCATAATCACAGTTTCTACCTATAAATCTAGGCAAAGCCATAAATCCAGCAACCTTCCAAGTTATTGATGTGCTCCTTTGGATAGAAGACAACGTCTTCTAAAGTTACCAGGGGAGTTACCATAGTCACTGAACAAACTGCCACACTGTCTCATCAGGATTCAATTCCAGACACTGGGAAATTACTTCTATAGCATCTCCTCTTTGGCTCTGAATAGAGAAGTACACCCAATAAATCAGTGATACCTCTCCCCCAACCAATGGATGATTTCCTCCTGCAATTTTTAATTAATGCTAAATGGCATAGGTGAGAGGATGGACATTGCAGCATCCCATAGGTAAGAGCCTATAACCTTGACCACTCATCCCCTACTGACAGGTATTACCTACTCAGGAGTAAAACCAGTATAAAATTATTCCCCCAATTCCTGAAATCTTATAGACACTCCAGGAGATACCCATTGTGTAATAAAAAATAAATCTCTTTAACTGATTTGACATTTGGAACATCTCAAACTTCTTCTTTCACTCCAGTTTATGTATTCCTTCGCAACATCCCATTAATCACTCTCTGCACTAATTTGCATAATAAGACACTGTTTAAAGAGGGAGGTAATTGAGGTGATGGAGGGGAAAACATAGTTGTCCCTTACCTGACAGCAGCACAAACCAGAAGGATAGGATGATCCAGGTGGCTGGAAATCCACTCATAAACAGCTCCATCTTCTCAGAGGTTGTTGTTCATCACTTCCCCCTGAAATTCTTGGCCCCAGGATAAAAATTTGGTCAGTTGCCTCTTTCACTGGCAAAGTCTCACAAAATGATACCTAGGAGGTGAATGAATATACACGTTCATCCTATTTGACTCCCTCAGGGAAGGTAGCTGAGCTCAGTGCTGCATCAGTTGGCTTCCTTCCTAGAAGACAGCTGGCTGGTCTTGTCTTTGGAGGAACTTCTTGTCAACTGAGATTTGAATATCAACAGGGACCTTCACAGTGTAGAGACAGGTCAAACATGTTGTCCCACATTTACATGGGAATAAAAGAAGGAAAAGAACACTAAAGCAAATCTGCAGGCAAGGACAATAGGACCTAGGACCCTAACAGAATGATATCATGAGGAAGCAAGTAGGACTGTTGTTAACAATCCAGTTATGTTTTAAACAAGATATGCCTAGGGTTAGAAGAGAAAAGGTGACATTAATTCCTCATGGTAGGAATGCGGGGGAGGTTTGAACCTCCAGCGCTAGAACTGGGATTCAGGCAATTGGTTTTTTTGCTCCTTTCTAAAACAGGACACATTGATTAGGGCTTAAGCATCACAAATACACACAGAGAGAGACATAACAGAGAGAAGGAGGGAGGAGCATATCTGCACCTTACATACATTCACATTTTGCAAGTCACATACATGTTTACGTTCATATACACCAGGGTGAGTTAGATCTTTTCAGCAGATACAGGCAGGTAATAGAGGGGTGAAACAAATGGAGGTAACACCTTCTTTGCTTTTTAGAAGGCTACGTATACAGATATGTCCACAACTTGCCTATTATTCTCTCACTTCTCTTTCCTTCTTGCCTTTATAGTGCCTGTAATATCAGCACGGAAGGGAAAAAAATAGATGGGAAGGGGTAAGAGTGGCAGTCATTCACTGTAAGATCAGGATAGGCCATTCCAAGAATCACAGAATAAGCAAGAGGATGAAACCAAACATATACAATACAGTGCTTTATTTTTCGTAGCAGCTAACCATGCATGGGCAAAATCAAATGCAGAAGCAAAGACCAGTACTTCTCCCCCTATGGTTCTTCCACAATTTTCATTCAAAGGTGTGAAGTTGTTAGGGCCAGGATCCGTCAGTTTTGTGCACAATGTAAGACTTTCGTTTTTCTCCATTATTTCCCATTTTTAAAAGCACCTAAAATGTTGACATCACTATGGGGAATTTCTGAGGGCTACAAATACAATAATGATAGGCCTCATAAGGCCCCAAGTCACATTCTTTAATAATATAATTTTGTTGAGGTTCATCATAATATAAAATACAAATGAAAATAAAGATAATAGGCAAATAGGCAAATAGGCAAAGGAACAGAAGGGGGAAAGAAGTGTGGGGTGAAGGGGACCAAAAATAAAACAGTAACATCTAAAATACAAAACACAGTTACAACTTCAGCTTTTTACTTTTGCATACAGAGCAAATACTAGTCATAGCTGTAACAACAAACTAATATAATCAGCAAAACCCAAAATCAAAATTTCATATATACTTTTCTGTTTTGAGCACAAAATCTAGAAGGGTCTCTAAGTAGAAACAAACTGTTCTTAGGTTCTTTTCTTTAATTAAAACAGTTAATTTTGCCCTCTGCTAGTTCCATCCGTTTTTCCATCTGTTCTTCCATTGTGGGAATTGACCTGGGGCACATTCTGTGCTGCCCTGTTTTTGGTTATAATCACATCAGACCCATTTGTAATATTCAGGGCATCTGGTTCAATCTCCTGCTCTTTTTTTCCACACTTCCTCACCCACACAGAGACTGATTCAGTTAGAACAGCATATAGATATCAAAGAACAGGTGATGTTCCACACAGACATTACAAGAGACCAAGACTTCAAGGCTCTCTATTTAAATTGGCTTTCTAATCTTTAAAAAAAAAAGTGGGGTGTGTGTGTGTGTGGATATGTTCTGAATTTCCTATGCCATAAATGTATGTCTCGGGAGGGAAGGTTGTCGTGTTTGAGCCCTAGCCAACATATCCTATTATAAAAAGGAGCCCAAAGCAACTGTCTGAATCACAAACAGCTCTCAATGCTACAGTGTAGTTCTCTTTAAAACTTGGGGATTTGATAGCATTGGAGTCCAGGCCAAAAAAAAGAAAGAACGCTATTTGCATGCAGATCTTTTCCCTTTCAGATATATAAATCCTTTGCTACCGGAAACTTAACTATTCTTTTGACAAATCACTATATATTTCATTTGGCACACAGACTTCATGGCCAGTTTTACCTAATTGAAAAATATCAAGTTTCTCTTTGCAGTCCCAGGAGACAGCACAACACCCAAGTGGATGAGCACCACAGCACCTCTTTCAGGATTTTGTCCTTCATCTCATCTAGACCTCTGAATGAAAGAAGAAAAAACAAAATATGATTAAAATATCAGAATTATCATTCCCTAGTCATGCGTGAAGCGACTTGGACCTACTTCAGTGAAGAGCTGTGTGCCAGGGAGACCATGCCATTCTCTTGGCAAAGCAAGGAGGTAACACATTGGAGACTGATAAGACTTGGTGTCACTTGGCCTATCTTGACCAGCATTCGCACCAGTTGGAAGATGTTTCTTCCATATATCACAATTGCCAGTTTAGAGAGGCAGAAAGAAACAATGCAACCACTTTACTCTTGGGAGGGGGCCACCTGGGTTCATGTGGGGGCTTCAGATGAGCCTTCTTCAAAGCAAAGCACGACTTTGAAGATCTGTGTAATCCTAATCATGATCAGGTATAGTTATAGTAGCA